AGTAGGCGAACTACGGCTTAAAGAGAATCCACGATCAAACGGCGACGTGCTTGCAAAGGTTAGGTCGAACGACGATTGGTGAGCGCTGCAGAGACCAGGACACTTTGCGTGCGCTGAGTTTTCTTTTGAACTTTTGGTGACGCATTCCACTGGGAAAATTCGATTCAACGATCGAGAATTAAACCGTACCGTTTGCTGGATGATTTTTCCACGACGTTCGACAGTTGTTCATTGAGCAATTCGAATACTGTTGAATGATCGTTTTTCCATTATTCTTGTGTCACTGTAAAGTACGACGCTTCGGTAGTTGAAGTGATCGATTAAATTCTTCTTAAATAAATAAAATATGGCAACAGTGATTTTAGCAATATTGATGACCGAAACGAGATACCATCTGTAGCGTAAATTAATAACGTCCAGGATCAGGAGAGGCGTCTCGCATCGCTCGAACATTTTTTCACCCTTCCGTTTATACACCCTGTGTCTCCTTTCGCATCCCCGTTTCTGTCTCCCTTGATCCTTTTTTGCCTGCCGGGGCAGCAGTGACGTCGCGATATCTCGCGGCTGGGCAATGAACGGCCGACGCCGACGCCGACGCCGACGGGCGCGTAACGAACGGGCTTTGGAGCTTTTTTCAGGACACGAGTCAAGTCACGGATAAACTGGAAAATATTATCCTGCGTTGTATATGCGTTCGGAGCTTGTCATCTGACGTCTCTGTCCGGTGAATCCAATGCTCTCGTTGTTTCGTAATGAACGCCAGATCCGTCGCCCAGGAACGAGTTCGGTCTTCTTCCTCGTTATTCAAGGCGGACGCTTGCTACACTGTCTATATTTTCCACGATTTTTATTCAGTGGTCTACCTCTGGGACTGCACAAGGAACGCGGGCGTTGCTTATGAATTTTTTATTGTAACTACGTTGTATTTATTTACAATCCTTTAGAGAAATGACAAAAAGCAATATTTGTGACTCTTAAAATGAACACGTAGATACTTCCCCCACTGGTTTCTATCTTTCTCGGCTCACTTGTAATCGACTAATTTTTATCCCATCGGTGTTACAACCTCGCGCCAACAAAAAGTAGCGACTTAGAAATGCAATCGCGTTTACACATGTAACGACGTTTTCGCTAGCTTTTCCACTTGTTAATTGTCTCAGACGATGGCACGATGACTATGCGGTTTTCGTGCATCGGTAACAAACGTGTAACAACGCCAGACCAGAACGACCAGCTATCAGAAATCCGAGACAATCCGGGAGTGGAGGAAGTTTTATCGGCGGTATTGCGGTGCAAAAATGGCTTGCATGTCGTGGAAACGTGAGTGCCAGGTAGTGCCGAGGCACGCGTGAGTCGACATGGCCTGAGAGGACAGCTCTTCTTAATTGTGCTACCTGACTCAGCATGAGACACAACATGCGAGACGCGGTAGACGATTCGAGCCGCAGCGCACCAGGACGCACGATGAACTTACCGAAGAATTCTGTTCGTGACTGTGTCTTCTACGAATCGTTTGTTCGTCTGGCTAGGCGCCGTTAATATTCCTTGGATGATGGAAGCAGATTACGCGGGGAAATGATCAATGGCAGGTGTCATCTGGCCCTTCCAAAGAAATCTATTCGTCTGTATTCGTCGCATTGGTTGGAATTCGAAGCATTAACATTACCATTACCGAAATCAACACATTTTTGTCGTACTATACGTCGTAATTAGAAGATAATTATCGATAAAATTCATCTCTATTACAATGGTTGTACCTAAAGATTAGGATAGAACGATTGTTAAGAATCGAATGATTTAAGAAGAAGTTTTAAGTATGATACATGAGTCCGACTTTGTAAAAATGTATACTATCAATACTGTTTATAACTTGTGGAAATTGTAAGGTCAACAAAGAAGCATCGTAGAAAAATCAAAGACTGCTCGCTAATCGAGAATAATCTCCCAATTGTGAGCATACTATCCATGCATAGATAAGGAACAATTTCACGTCGTTTGCCGCATGAAAATGAGATGAAGTACACGAGTCTATCTACTCGTGTTTGCCAATCGTTCTCGTCGATTCGTGAGAGTCACGCAGCTGGCGGTGCTATCGCAGTCCCGTCATTTTTATTCCAACGACTGATGACTTATACAGAGAGAGAATTTATGTTGCGATTAAAGTAATTTCCAAGTTGTCAACGTTCAACACAATGGCTTATCGTCGTATGTAATGACGGTACAGTTTGATGCAAGATTGGTAGATAATAACACAAAATAGTTTTAAATTACAAGAAGAAAACAGACGTAAAAAGAAGAACGTAAGAAGAAAACAGATGTAAGAATTTATTGCATGCGGGGATGGATAAAGAACCGTTTGTGTGAAAGCGATTCGGTTTCGGTACTGGAACCGGTCTCAGTTTTCTCATTATCGGTTCTAACCTAAAGAACCGGAATCGTTTAATTTTTGCAAAAACTGATTCCATTCTAGAATAATTCTAATATATAATTCTAGTCAGTATAATTCTATACCTGAGCTCTTTCCTTTTATTATCGTTTTTTATTTTACACAGGATTTACCGATTTCAGTAAATATATTTAAACAGCTATATGTTTGAAGTGAAAAATGGGAAAAATAGCTCTAGAAAAAATGTCATCGAGTAACTGTAATTGTCTGTTGTGCCCAATCAGTTTTTCCATGATAACAGAAAAGCCTCCAGAGCGCAAAGGGTTAAATATAAAGGGAAGACCGTATGCGTCGCGTACACGGCACGCGTGCTTATCCAATCTCTTCGACGAGATGGAAGAGATCGATGGCACTTTGGCAAACCACCAGAGTCTTGCGCGACCGTGCAAGACGAGCCAGGCCATCCGTCGCCTATCTGTCGCCACCAGATATACGCGTGCCTCGCGGAATCCGACCAGCTGTCTAGTGTCTGCCAAATGCTGCCAAGCACAAAGGGACCGCGATCGCATCAGCTCGAATTCACAGGTAAATGTTTGTCTTCTGAGGATTCGTTCCGCTCGCTTGCTCAAGCGTGCATACACGCGTACCCGCTTACTAGGGGTAGTCGATTGATGCACCGTTCGGATTCGTACGAGCCGCGCCGGCGGCGCGGGCGTCGGAGTCCAGAGAACTATTCCAAAGACGGATCTTGAACGTTTTTCGTGTCTCAAGAGTTGAGTTGAGCCCGTACTTAATAAACTGGTTACGACAACGCACCAATTTCCTGCAGTGGAACTCTGACGACTCCCTCGAGCTCCTCGACATCCACGCATTCAACTCTTCTAACCCAAAATACTTAGCCGTCCACTTAGACGTTAGTCCGTATCAGCGCACAGATATTACTCGTGCCTCGAGCCAATCGATCCTTATCAGATTCTTCTCGGAAGAAGATCGTTGACAACCGATGGAAACTCGCGAGGGAGACAACGATCGTTTGATGGAATCCAATTTTGGTGTTCCCGCGTGAAAAGCTGCCGGTTACGGTTTTTTTTTGCCCAACCTGCAGGAAATTGAATTCCTCGTACGATACTTCGGTGCAGACAATTATCGGTGATTTAACAGGAGAACAGTATCCTCCGTGGGAGGAGGGGAGGGCGGGCTAGTTAAGAAACTTGACAAAGCCGAATGCAGAAAATCGTTTCGGTTCGTGTTACGTTGCGACAGTTCACCGTGAGATTTCACTTTCCTACAACGATGCTCGAGTAGCGAAACCGCTGGTTTGCGGCCTCGACGACGGAAGAAAATGGACGATCTGCGGAAAATACCGTCGGAGAAAAAGAGACGCAGGGCACTTCCAACCGCGCTGATACGCGTTTTTTCGCCCAGCACGCTCCGCTGCGCCGAGACGCGCTCTTACTTTCGTGGGAATTTCACTATTTAAACGAAAACGGTTTCACTTTTCCGACCGCTTGCGTGTCGCCATACAGTTACTCGCAAGAGACGAGAAATTTTCTCCTAGATAAATAGTCGTATCGACACTTTGATTGCTACACGGAAGAAATTATACATTACTTATGGCGAGAAAATAATCGACGAAGAAGTAAGTTTTAGCTGGATGGAAAGAGTACGAGATATAGATGATAAATCTTCGTTTTATATCTCTTTTTATTTTTATTTTACCTTTTCAATGTTTATATATGACTTTGCTTATTAACCTGATAAGTGTATTGCACAAGTCGTCGCGATTGTTATGCGAATCAAAGATGCTACATAGATATAATATTATTTTTATTATAAAATTCTACCTTCGTTCTACCTTCCCTAAAAATAGGTAAAACAAGTGGGACGATCCAGTTGGCGGAAACAAGCAATCAGCCATTTAATTGACACCTAATTAGTATATGTATATCTTGCTCCTGAATCCCGTTCAAAGATGCTTTCATTAAATTATTGTCGCGCGATTACACCTTATCAACTTGATTTACTGGTAAACTGATAAATTAATAAGAGCGAACGCAACGTTACGACACCGTAGAAGATGTAATAGTCATTGTAGACGTTCTGGATTCAGTGCCCACAACACGTGTCATTGTCGAGAACACGAGTACGTTCTTTTCCTTGTATTCTAAACAAGCTTAAAACAAGTTGTTCAATATTTGTGAATATATAATCTTAAATGATAAACATTACCTGTAATTTAAATACTTTTTGAAAATTTCATATCTCCACGTATAATGAATACCCTCAGAGTTTGCATACATATGGTATTTGCATATTTCTATATAGGTACTTTAAGTTCACCTAGAAATTACTCCCTATCTCTAAGACACGATACAAAATGCCAAAGGAGGAATTATTTTTCCGCGGGAAATTACTAATAATATCGTAGATGGGACAACTTAGTTATCGGATCCCAGACTAACCCTTTTAGGCTTTAAAACATTCCTGTAGCTTTCGTACCATTGCACATAGCGTCGCAACTATTCATAAATCTCTTTGATAATCAAAGTGAAGCATCCATCGCGAACGTTGAAATAGACACTGCATTCATTCCAAGTTAAATACGGTTGAGCTCTGATGCAAGCATCGTGATTCATCAAAGGCAGTTCACTGATAGTTGTGCTCCCGATAAAGTTACAAGTATTGCGTCCGTCTTACACTCTCGATAGCATCTTCAGTAAACGGGTAACAACTGCGTAAGCGTCTCTTCTTCCAGCTTGGTGACAGTTTATCCGCGGTCAGCATTATGAAGCACATTGTTGCAACTGTACTCGCTATCGCATGTGTTTTGTGTTTCGTGAATCAACTAGAATGTGCTAGGATCCTTGGGGTCGTGCCTACACCTTCGTACAGTCATCAAATTCCATATCGACAACTGTGGCTCGAATTGAGCAAACGTGGACACGAGGTCGTCCTGATAACCACGAATCCCATACCCAACTCGAATCTGCCCAACTTCACTCAAATCGATGTTGGCCAGTCTTATAAGTCCCTTAAACAAATTGCCTACGTTCGCCAGCGATTCGAAGGAATATCTTGGCTAAATTTCTGTGAGACAGATTTGTTGTTTCTATGTGAACATTTTATAGAACATGTGTTCAATCACACGGAGGTAATGAAGATGTACGCGCCTGGTAGCGATACTAAATTCGACGTGGTCATCGCGGAGGTGCTTTACATGCCCGCTGTGTGCTCCCTCGCTCATGTGTTCAACGCGCCATTGATAGGTACACCTTCCCATTTTCTCCAACTTTTATTCTTACGGTGATAAATTATCGTTTGGTTGAACTGATTAACGTCGAAAGAGAGAAACATCTAGTCTTCTGAATACGTTGCTAATGGTTGATTTATTTATGGTTTCTGTAGGACTCAGTTCGCTGGGACTTGTTTCATTTAATGAGTACGAACTCGGTGGCATCGTCCTGCCTTCGCATGAATACACTTGGGAAATGGAGACGAACACGGGATCAAACCTGCCATTTTGGAAGAGACTGACAAATTACGTAACTCTGTGGCACCATCTATACCACATCTATAACTTCGCCATTCCGAGACAACAGAAGATAGCCGAAAAGTACTTCGGTGCAGATTTCCCGCCAGTTGTCGACGTTATGAAAAACATGAGCCTCTTATTTGTCAATCAAGCTAATATTCTAACACCGGCTCGACCAAAGCTCGCAAACATAATCACGTTCACTTCGTCCCACATCTCTCAAAATCCAGCACCACTGTCAAAGGTTAGTATGCTTCATCGTGGCTCGATTGAATTTCAAGCACACTTGGATTCTTAATACAATCGAACCGAACACTTCATGTTTCTACATGAAAACCTACATACATACGTATCACGATTTATTATAAGCACACCAATCTCAATTTTCGTTATCGCACGTTCAAAAATAATCTAAAAATTCTCGTGTATTGTTGCATAAGTGTACAATAGGCCTGAAGAGGTTAAGTATCTAATTAATTTATATATCTATTGTACAATCAGCAGCACGCAACACGATAATTAGCGTTTATCGACGTTTCTGGCTGAGTGGATTGAACTGTAAAACGTTTCATATCTCAAAACAGAGATTAGTGGGTCTTGCATCACTTTCATAGGAAATCATTCGCACGCACATCGTTATTCTTGATTTTCTGATCGCAGGATTTGAAGCGTTTCTTAGACGACGCATCGGAAGGATTCATCTATTTCAGTCTTGGTAGCAACGCGTTGAGTTCGCATATCCCGGAAGATACTTTGCAGATTTTCCTCGACGTGTTCGCCAAATTGCCTTATAGAATCGTGTGGAAGTTCGAAGAGGAATTGCCAGGAAAACCAGACAACGTCTTCATCTCGCGATGGTTCCCTCAGCAGAGCATCCTCGGTACAATTGCACACTTTTCTATTTATCCTTTCTCAATTAAATTGAATTCACAATTTTCCTTATACAACCGTGTCATCCAGCTCTCAAGAATAATAGGTCGTTTATTTTTTCAGCTCACCCGAACATTAAGCTTTTCATATATCAAGGAGGTGTGCAAAGCAGCGAAGAAGCTATTCATTTTACCGTACCTGTATTAGGGTTAGCTGTGTTGGCGGATCAGGACTACCAAGTGCGCAGAATGGAAGAACGTGGTGTAGGAATATGTTTAGAAATCCTTACTCTGACGAGAGACGAGTTGGAAAGTAACATTCGAGAGCTTATAACTAATAAAAAGTAAATATAATATGTACAGAGTACGGGTCAGAGATAGACGAAACTCTTATCTAGTCTCTCTATTATTACAAACGGTGATCGTAAAAGTTACGCAATAATAATAATTTCGATTTAACTGTTACAGATATAAGGATAACATGGTTGAACTCAATCACATCATCAATGATAACCCCTATAATATGATTGATAACCTTGTTTGGTGGACAGAGTACGTGATTCGTCACAAAGGTGCCCCGCATCTTCGCTCCAACCTAGCCTGGCAACCCTGGTACCAACGTCTCGATATGGACATTGTTGTATTCTTGACGACCGTAACATGTATAGCAGGCTTCGCTGCGCTCAGTGTTACAATCAAAGTCATATTGTATTTCCGTAAACAAATGTTAGAATACAAGAAACAGAAAATTAGTTAATCGGTTGCTAAGAGAATATAGAACCGTAAATACCTTGCGTGTCGTAAATCATAGGTTTCTGAAACTATTGAAATTGTAACGTGGTATACACTTTTGTGAAGTAGGACAAGTTTCATTTGCGTTAATCATTTTCATTGCACAGGCACCATACATACATACATAGCATACAGAATAAGCGTCACAGTATACAGGAGTTAAAAGTTTCATTTATGCCGATCGTAGCGAAATGGATTTGAAGATCTCATTTTTCATATGAATGAAATTGAATGTTCGCGATACATAGTGACAAATGAGATTAATTACTGTAACGAGAAAATATTATAATAATAAAAGTATTACAAAATCGAAGTGAATTTAATTGATTAGATCACAATTACATATTATGTACTCGATCTCCTTCAGGTCGGGCAAGGACTCTCGCACCTTCCCCCTTTCCTCGATCCGTTCGTCTGTGCGAGCTGGGCTTCGTCATTTGTACGACCAACTTTGTATACCGCTTTAAAATGGTCTTATTGGTTTTTCGCATGACGCGTGCTTTGGACTAGAAGCGTTCCTCTGAATGTAAAATCTAGTATTCGAATGTGTGCCACGTACTAACCAAGAATGAGAAACACCGATTAAAGTGGCAATCACGTAAGTGTAAGTGACATATCAAGGGCGACAGCTCGAGTCAGTATAACCATATTGGGCATAACAAGACACAGTTATATGGTTGCTGACATCCCTAACAATCTACCAGATGATACATCAAATTCGCTATAACTTCGACTCGGATCCGTTTCAAGAATCAAATAAACAACTACAAATTAATATTCGAACCAGCGCACCGTCCCATGGCGAGAACACAAATAGCAGCGCCGGCTGCTATGAACGTTAAACTATGGTTGTTTAAACTATCGATTATCTTCATCGACGAACCGTAAACATTATCTCGAAGTTGAGATTAAGATATCGTCTAGTCATCGTTGCTATCTGAAATGATATTGCATGCTCTAAATAAATCGGCGTACTGGCGTGATACATTGTTCAGCAGTTTCACCCTGACCAGCTTTCGGAGTGGTTCATCCGCGACCAGCAGCATGAAGTTCAGTGTCGCGACTCTATTCGCAGGATTGTTCGTTCTCTCTGTTTTGAAGCAAGTACAATGCGCCAGAATTCTCGCGATCATCCCGACACCTTCGTACAGTCATCAAATTCCATATCGACCACTGTGGCTCGAATTGAACAAACGTGGACATGACGTCGTCCTAGTAACACCGAACCCAATCCCAGACTTGAAGCTGGAGAAATTCACTCAGATAGATACCTCGACATCTTACATCAATATGAGGCAAAAGTTCAACCTGGTCCAGCATCGATTCAAACAAATCACCTGCTTGGATTTGATTCGGGACACTATGCCTGAACTAATCGATACTTTTGCAGAACATGTGTTTAATCACACGCAAATGCGAGAGATCTACGCGCCTAATAGCGGCCAGAAGTTCGACTTGGTAATGGTTGAGATGCTCCTCATGCCAGCCGTATATGCCTTCGCTCATAGATTCAACGCGTCTTTAATAGGTATTTTTATTCCCTCTATATATCGCTCATTTTCTTTTTATACTACGCAATCTTATGGTTCTTGAATCGAGACGAGTTACGTCAGAATTCTTCTGTGAACAATGCTTGAATTTCTTTGAACAAAACTGAGTCGAACTACACGGTTGGAGTCTATGATTTTTCTATAATAAATTCTGGTTAGATATATGAAGCGTGGAGTGATCGAAAGGTCGAGAATTCAAGCACAACTCGAATTACTGTAGAGTTAAAACGATAACGACATCATAAAAGTCGAATTATCTCTCTAACCTACTGATATCGAGGCAACAGAACATGAAGCTTTTCTATCTCAAACTGACAGAGCACTTACAACATTATAAAATCATTCTTGCTTCACGTGACCGTAGGGCTTTCGTCACTGGGTATTAACGCACACAGCGAACACATCCTCGGTGGGCTAGTGTTACCTTCTCATGAGAGCACATGGGAATTGGAAGGAAACGCAGGATCGAACCTGCCATTCTGGAAGAGACTGCGAAACTTCGTCAACTTGTGGCATTCCATATACTACCACTACCACGACATTATACCCCGTCAGCAGAAAATAGCTGAAAAGTACCTCGGACCTAATTTACCATCGCTGCTCGAAATACAGAAGAACACAAGCCTCATTTTCATCAATCAGCCAGACGCTATCGCAGCAGCTCGACCGAAACTCACCAACTTGATCACGTTTACTTCATCCCACGTAAATCGAAATCCAACACCATTGCCAGAGGTATGTTTCATCGCGTACAGAGCTTGCACTCCTCTACAATAACAGATTGATAACCATACTCATATTTCGTGAACGTAGAACTTGAAGCGCTTCGCGGACGATGCGCCGAATGGATTCATTTACTTCAGTCTCGGTACCAACGCGATGAGTTCCCACTTGCCCGAAGAAACGTTGCAGGTTTTCCTGGACGTGTTCGCCAAGTTGCCTTACAAAGTCATGTGGAAATTCGAGAAGGAATTCCCAAAGCTACCAAACAACGTCATGGTTTCGCCATGGTTCCCTCAGCAGAGCATCCTTGGTACGGTTGGGCTCGTTTACGATTGCGCTAAGCTTTATCGGTAATTGGTGACTTAATTTCTCATTAATTGGGATTTTGTTACGCAGCACACCCAAACATCAAGCTCTTCATATATCAAGGAGGTCTTCAGAGCACCGAGGAAACTATTCATTTCACGGTGCCTGTCGTAGTGTTTCCTGTGGGAGGAGATCAGGATTATCAGGCTATCAGAATGGAAGCCGTTGGGGTTGGAAAGCGTTTGGAAATCGTCACTGTGACACGAGACGAGTTGGAGAATGCCATACGAGAAGTCATAACTAATAAAAAGTAAGTATTGTATATGTAGATTACAAGTAATTAATTACAAAATATTATATACCGGAGTCTTATTTTTAAAACGTGGTTACTATGGTAACAAAATTTGACGCGTTGTCATTAGGTACAAGGAGAATATAATACAACTTAAAAATATTGTTAACGACAAACCTTACGATATGGTGGATCACCTTGTTTGGTGGACGGAGTATACGATTCGACACAAAGGTGCCTCGCACCTTCGCTCAAATTTGGCCTGGCAACCCTGGTACCAACGTAACGACATGGACATTGTTGTATTCTTTACTATTGTAGCATTTATAATAGTCTCGACTACGCTCACTTTACTTGCCAAATTTGCCGTATGTTTCTACAGAAGAATTCATGCTCCTGACACATATCAAAAACAAAAACTTAGTTAACCAATTATTATATCGTACGCGATTCTAGATTAATATTAACGTACGAGAAATGAGGATAAAAGGTGCTTTTATTTAGAAACTTACCTAATTATGTAAGTGTATAGTTCCGTTTTGTGATATGTCTTTATTTAGTAGCATTACAATAAAAACTCGTGAAACGGGCAGAACAAAAAGTAACAGCGACCATACGCGTACATATACGCATACACGTCGTTCACACTCGCACATGCTGATAGTATGATAGTTAGCGATAGTACAATCTTTAACGACTGAAATTATAGACATTAGGAATTCTACGCCATTCGTGTTGGGAAACATACAAGGTGAAATAAAATGAGAACGTGCTAAGTGTCAATTTCAATTTTAACCGTGACAATTGCACGATTGAAGACAATTGAAAAACAGCTGTAGAAATGTCAAAAGTTTCAATAAATAATCCTTGTGCTGATCCTGGCAAGAACTTATCCCAGGTACTATAAACAGAAACCTAATACTACTTATTTCATTACTCATCTTCATTGCAAATATATTGTAATGCAAATTTTGTCCGTGACTGTCAAGGAATCAGTGTTTATTATCTACTCTGATGTGGTAATAGTAGTAAGTTTATTAATTTCAGCCTTTCGGCCCAGAAATGGGACTTGATTTTAAATACGAAAGGTCCTAGAAAATTTGGGCCTCCGACTATCTGATAGCTCTCTAACAGCGATATAGGTGTAAATGGACGACGCGCGAGCCCAATTTATCAATTTGTCGCCTTCAAAGTGAGACCTTGACTGTGTACTTGCATTGCTTGCAAAATGGTTATGTACGAGTCGTCGCTGTTAGAGCGGCTCAAGGGACCTAAAACATCCAATTATGCAATTTTGTAAATTTCTAACACGTTTATCGGACAGTAATTAGCATATGCTTAGGAATTAACGGAATTAACTATCGCTCCTTCCCCCCTTCCACGATCCGTTCGTCTATGCGAGTTGGGCCTCGTCTAGCACAATAAAGAGACAATCACCCCCCGTATGTCAAAAACAAAGTCATCTAGCATACACGTATAATAATTCATTTTTATAATAAGGCAAATAGCTTTCCGTATTATAGCATTGTAAATTAAAAAGTACTATTCTTTATGTGTCATCAGTGTAAACACAGAAGGCTCGGCGAGTATCAAGATTAGATAATCCCTATCGTCGCTTATCATGTGAAGCTTCGTTCCTACAATTATAAGGATGTAAGTCTTGGCTCATACAAGTGACTAAGCATTAGTACACACGAGTGAGATCTAAAGACAAACAACTTGATGCGTGATCCTAATCGCTTTCGAAAACAACGTTTCACAGTTTTCGGTGTCGGAAGCAATGCGCTCCACGTTTGCTGCCATTGGAGGACACCGTATCGCTGGTGTCACATATCGTGACTCTGCAATTAAGCGTATAGATTAATTTACGCGTATAAATTATATACCGATAGTAAATGATAGCAATCGCACAGTTTATACGCGTTCTCAGCACAGTTGTAATATAAGATTCGTTGGATTGTCGTAACCAGATCGCGTAGTGGTGTATTCGTGATCATGAATTTCGTCAACATCGCGATCATACTTTCGGTTGCGGGTGTTCTATTGGTCATCCAACAAGTGCAATGCGCTAGAATTCTTGCTATAGTCCCGACGCCTTCGTACAGTCATCAAATCCCGTTCAGACCGTTATGGATAGAATTGAGCAAACGTGGCCACGAAATAGTGTTCGTCAGCCCTAACCCCATCCCAGACGTGAACTTGACGAATTTTGTTTACATCAACACCTTGTCATCTTTCATTATCGACCAGAAGATCGACATCTTCAAGTACCGTTTCGAACAAACTACCTGGATAGAGTTCTTGGAGAACAGAATGGCAAATTTCAGTGATCTTGCCACACATGCTGTGTTTAATAACACGGAAGTGATGAAACTGTACGCACCTAACAGCGGGGTCAAGTTCGATTTGGTCATGGCTGAGATGCTGCTGTCACCAGCATTATTCGCTTTCGGGCACAGATTCAACGCACCCATTATAGGTATCCTCCGACGTTCGTTCTAGAGAATGTTTATTCCTCTTTAGTGGAAAATGGTCTACTAGTTTGAGTGTTTTGATTGAACAACAACGAATTAGACTGTTGATTTACTCTATTTCTTGTACACTAAACTGCAAACGCCTCTTAGTATCACGAAATCGGCTTTACATTATTGAACGCGAAATTACACATACCAAACAGTACTGCTCAAATGCTCGACAATGTTGACAAGGAAGTACAAAGAGTAATTATAACACGAGTAATGCAAATCCACGTGAATATAATCGTCGCTAATTTCAGACTTGTCTTGAATCGGTAGCTCTACTGGCGAACAATTCGCTTGATTTCGTTAAATAATGAGTGACTCGTGTAACTGTAGGGCTCACCTCCCTGGGACTTTTTGGATTCAACGAATATATCCTGGGCGGGGTTGTGTTACCTTCTCACGAGTCTACATGGGAAATGGAAACGAACACAGGATCAAACCTGCCGTTCTGGAAAAGGCTGCACAACTTCGCGACCCTATGGCGCAGCATGTACTTTATTTATTCCAAATGCGTACCCCAACAGCAGAAAATAGCCGAAGAGTACTTGGGAACTCGTTTACCGCCACTGCTCGACATACAGAGGAACCTGAGTCTCGTGTTTACCAATCAGGCCGATGGCCTTACAGCAGCAAAGCCGAAACTGGCAAACATGATCACGTTCACTTCGGCTCACGTCTCATCAAACCCAAAACCACTGCCAGAAGTATGTACCAACGCTAATCATACTCTAATTTCTATACAAAGAGATAACTGTACTTCTATGATCTCAGAAATTAAAACGATTCGTGGATGACGCGCACAATGGATTCATCTACTTCAGTCTGGGTAGTAACGTGTTGAGCTCAGAAATGCCGAAAGAAACCTTGCAGATATTCCTCGACGTGTTCGCCAGGTTGCCTTACAAAATCGTGTGGAAGTATGAGGAAGAGTTGGCCATGAAACCGAGCAACGTCTTCATCTCGCCATGGTTCACGCAGCAGAGCATCTTTGGTGAGAAACTTGCTTACCATTGAATGTTTCGATGCTAAAAATGACATTTTCCTAATGATTTTGATTTCGTTGTGCAGCACACCCGAACATTAAGCTGTTCATATATCAAGGAGGCCTGCAAAGCACCGAGGAAGCAGTGAAATTCGCAGTGCCTGTTTTAGGACTTCCGATAATAGCGGACCAGGCCTATCAAACAGGCAGAATGGAAGCTCTTGGTGTCGGGAAGCGTTTAGACATCACTAGTATCACGAGGGATGAGTTGGAAAGTGCCATCCGTGAGATTATAACTGATAAATCGTAAGTGTGCACCGAGCGACGAGAAGCGTTCGTCTTGACACAATCAACGATAAACTATTCATTTAGCAATTACAAATTTATCGTGTCTTTTCAGCTATAAGAAGAGAATGATCGAACTCCAAAATACCGTCCACGACCAACCATACGATTTAGTGAAGAACCTTGTTTGGTGGACGGAATACGTGATTCGTCATAAAGGTGCCCCGCATCTTCGCTCCAACCTAGCCTGGCAACCCTGGTACCAACGTAACGACATGGACATTGTTATATTCTTGACAGTCGTAGCAACTATAATAGTTTTGATAATACTGAGATTAATTGCCATGTTAGCCATGTGTTTCTTTAAAGGAAATCAATCACTCCCTAGCTATCGCAAACAAAAGCTTAGTTAATTAAACAAATAATGATCTACGCAGTTCAAAATTAACTTTAGCGAAAGGAGGGGGTGAACAGTCGAGTGTCTTAAAGTAACTGATTCATTAACTATTTAATTTAGTCATCGAAAGTGGTACGTGTTACGTATTACACGTGGTGGAGATTACCGTGTAAATACATACATTACATTCTCTGGTTTAACATTAAAATACCGTTTACAGTAACAGACTGCAATCATCATTGCTAATAGCTTATCGTAAATATGAAACCAAAAACCAATTGTTCTATTGAAAGTCGTATTAAATAAAAAAGAAATAACATTTCATCGCGTATAGAAGATTATAATTTACTGTTGACTGACCAACCTATTCGTTCAGCAAAGATAAAGATATCAGAATCAATGTGTTCAAAATACTTTAGGCAGCCTTGTTTTTCAAATGTTCTTATCAAAGCCTAAAGACCCTACAGGAAGTTTTCAGGGATTTCAACGACTCATCCTAGACGAGTTAGTCATCCAGTACCAAGGGTCATAGTTACCCCCTCTCAACCCAAGAGGTTTTTAGAGTATAAGATTTAGAAATCTTACGAAGTGAGCATTATTATTTTCGAGCCTTCTGCGCGACAGTCTATCACTTTTTGTTTCCACGAGTTGTATCCAGAGTTACGTCCGAAATATATATATTTGTACGTATTTATATAAACAGCACAAACAACGGGAATATGAAATAATGTTGCATTTAGCTTCGGTTATCATTGATTCATAACTGACGTGTCCAAGAAATATCGCTGTCGTTAAGAAATGATTACAGTAATGTTCCCTTTAAGAAACGTGAGTCGGCGATACAAGTTTTTAAATTGTAATTCCATGCACGAGGAACTGTTGCAATTGCCGAGTTATCTCACAATGACTTCACAACTTTATGCTTGTAATTTCTAAAATCTAAGTAGCATTAGTTTATGTACATCCAGCGTGATGAAGTTGATCGTCGCGATCGTACTCTCTATCGTCTGTGTCCTCTGTGCTGTGAAGCAACTGCAGTGCGCCAGGATCCTAGGTATCGTTCCAACGCCATCGTACAGTCATCAAATCCCGTTCAGACCGTTATGGATAGAATTAAGCAAACGTGGCCACGACGTGGTACTCATCACGCCGAGTCCCATCCCCAACTTGAATCTAACCAACTTCACCCAGATCGACATTGGCGAATCCTACGACAAGTTGAGGTCAATTAATTTCATAAATCTACGATTCAAACAGAATAGCTGGTTAGATTTCCTGTACGGGATTCTCTTAAATTACTGTGAAAATATTGCACACCAAGTGCTAAATCATACGGAAGTGAAGAAGCTCTACGACCCTAGCAGCGACGCCAAATTCGACGTGGTAATGGCCGAGACTCTCTACACGCCCGTTATGCACTCCTTCGCATACAGATTTAACACGCCCATAATAGGTATTCTATGACTTTCTATTCATTTTTTAATCTAGGATATTCGCATACTGTCATACATTGATAAAAGTCTTTTATTAGCAGTTCAATTCGCTACTGTTTGTATAACCGTAGGACTCTCCTCGCTGGGGATCCTTGGAATCACAGAACACTCTCTCGGTGGTTTCATGCTACCTTCGCACGAGTACACGTGGGAAATGGAAGGACGCACAGGATCAGACGTGTCGTTTTGGAGGAGATTACAGAATTTTGTGGCAATGTGGCGCAACGTCAACTTCCTCTATGACAACCTATACACTAGTCAACATATCATAGCCGAGAAGTATTTCGGAATACGTTTACCGCCCCTGATCGACATGCTGAAAAATACTAGCATGTTGTTCGTCAATCAGGCTGACATTATGACTTCAGCTAGGCCGAAACTCCCAAATGTGATCACTTTCACCTCGTTCCACGTAGACGAGATCTCGAAACCTCTGCCAAAGGTAATTATCACGGTACAGTAGAGTGATGCTTGTAATCTAGGCTTTGCTACAACTCTCCAACTCTTAAATCAGTGGAACTATACTGTATCAGTTAAACGAGCACCGCCCCACTGTACCTACGCCAACCTACTTCGCTATCACTGTTCCTTAAGTAGATTCCATACAGAAATTCGTAATCACAGGATTTAGAACGCTTCGTGGATGACGCACGCGAAGGATTCATCTATTTCAGTCTTGGTAGCAACGCGTTGAGCTCAGATTTGCCGAGGGAAACTATGCAGGTTTTCCTAGACGTGTTCGCCAAGTTGCCTTACAGAATCGTGTGGAAATTCGAGACAGAGTGGCTGGATAAACCTGACAACGTCTTCACCGGGAAATGGTTGCCTCAGCAAAGCATTCTTGGTACGTTACGCTATTGCTACACATTTCTATCGCTAAAATTTTCTGACGAAATGACCCAGAAATTTTCTTGTGCAGCACACCCGAACATCAAGCTGTTCCTTTACCAAGGAGGACTGCAAAGCAGCGAGGAAGCTGTTCATTTCACGGTACCTCTTGTAGGGTTTCCAGTGATGGCGGATCAAAACTACCAAGTGCGTAGAATGGAAGCCCTTGGTGTTGGAAAGCTCTTAGACATTACGACCGTGACGAGAGACGAATTAGAAAGTGCCATTCGAGAGCTCATAAATGATAGCAAGTAAGCGTGTACTCGAGGGTTTACAAAACTTAGAATGGATAAATTCTTGTACACATTTTGTTTACGATACAATTCAACACCCGACTAACATTTACTAAACTGTTAACATTTTCTTTTCAGATATAAAGAAAACATGATCAAGCTAAAAAAGATCGTCAATGACAATCCTTACGATTTAGTGGAGCATCTATGTTGGTGGACAGAGTACGTGATTCGTCACAATGGTGCACCGCATCTGCGTTCCAGCTTGGCTGATCTGCCATGGCGCCATCGTAACGACATAGATGTCGTAATGTTTCTGACAATCATTGCGTTTATAGTGATTATAATTGTGTTTAGAATAACTGTCAAAATAATTATGCACTTCGGGATGGGACCAAAGTCTAGAAATTGGAAACAGAAAATCAATTGACAATGTTACCGATAGAAAAAGTGATTTATTTACGTTATTTAACCATCAAAAGTTGTACACGTTAAGATGATGAAATGATGATAATGAAAAGGTGATGTGATTATCTTCTACACCTTCGAGTCTTTAATTTCCAGTATTGGTAATTATAGAGAACAGGTACATCCTCATCGATTTCGATGATTTTTGAATATGTTGTAGAAATCAACATTTTGAACAACTTTTTCCTATACATATAACCGTCGCTCGGCCTTAGTTTCCGAGATATTTGCAAAATACCATTACTACTACTATGAATACTGCGTATAGCAACGCGTCCGTGACAGCGTGTGTGTAACCGTTGAGTCCTCGATTGTTTAGGCTCGGAATACACATCCGCGTCTGTGAGTCTGTATGCGTTAACTATCATTCGTCGGTCGGCTCGTGTTTCAATCTGTTTCGAACTCATTCATACATATGAAGTAGCGCATGATCTTTATTCGTACAGTAAAAAAATGGGGGTCCGGGGGCTAGCCACCGGTCGTGAGTTTGGGGGCGAAGCCTCCAACAACGAGTACTGCAGCGCACCACGCAGGTGTGTACATGGTTAGCCTGGGGAATGTTTATAGTTTAGCGGGGGGGTCGAGGGGGCGGTGAGCGCAGCCCCCCCAGCATGCACATAGTTTTGAATCGAAGCTGAAAACTTTTTACAAAATTTAAAAAGCATACATCTCAAAACTATATGCATGCTGGGGGGCTGCGCCCCCCAAACTCCCTGCCTAACGGGCACTCTCAAATTCCGGGAGATCATGCATAAGGGGTTACAGTAATAATCTATGTCACTCCTCCTACATGGTAAGTCGGTGATAACGTCCATTACTTGACGAGTATGTCAGTATTGCCTACGACAGTTAATTTAAAATTCAAAGTTACGGTAGCTTAACGATACGGTATTTTAGTATGCCGTGATCGGCTGAAATAACGGTATATTCTGTTGTCAAAAATGAAGTTCATCGTCGTGACTATACTCGCGGTCTTGTGTACTCTCTGTATCAAGCGCCACGAATGCGCCAGGATCCTGATAACTATCGGAACAGCCTCCTATAGTCATCAAATCACGTATACGCGATTATGGCTGGAACTGGCCGAACGTGGACACGACATTGTTTTAATCGGCACGAATTACATGAACGACTTAAATGGGACGAATATTACTCAAATCATAGTCGATTCACCTCGAGATTTCATAGATGAAATGGACTTTATTGGTTTCCGCTTTAAAGGAATATCGTGGATAACGTTTAACGAAAGAATCCAAGGCGAACTGGGTACCATTTTATCGGAAAACGTTTTCGAAAATCCAGCCGTGAAGAAACTGTACGCGCCTAATAGCAACGAGAAATTCGACTTGGTTATGGCAGAGCTCATATGGACTCCCTCCCTTTTCGCGTTCGCTCATAGATTTAACGCGCCTCTGATAGGTACTTTAATCCAAGTTAAAATTTAATTAATTTTAATTATGAAACCTTTGAATTTTTTGTTTGGTTAGGTGTTTATAATAATAGTGTCCTCAAGCCGGTATACTTGATCTGATCGTAGGGTTGAGCTCTCTGGCAATTCCTATGTTCCACGAGTACCTCATAGGTGGGCTTGTACTACCGTCTCACGAATCTACGTGGGAAATGGAAAAAAAAGTTGGATCGAATCTGTCTTTCTGGCAGAGAGTACAAAATTATTTGATCGCGTGGCGCTCCGTATACCTTTCCTATCGGGATCAACTTTTACCGCAGCAAACGCTCGCTGAAAAATACCTTGGAAAAGATATACCGCCATTGCAAGATATAATAGCGAACGTCAGCGTTGTATTCGCGAACCAGGATGAATACATTTATCCAGCGCGACACAAGTTACCAAACGTGATCCCGTTCTCTACGTTACATATTTCTTCTAACCTGCCTCCAATGTCAAAAGTAGGTATACTCGATCGGCATGCGATCGAACGATGCGAACATTTACCACTAAATTCGAATTTTAAACAGCACGATTCATCTAATTCACACTAATATCCCTCTGTCTTCTGATTGTAGGAATTAAAACGTTTCGTGGACAACGCAAAGAATGGCTTCATCTACCTCAACTTTGGTACCAACGTAAAGTGTTCGTTTCTGCCGAATAAAATTATGCAGATACTACTCGATGTGTTTACCAGTTTGCCATACAAATTGGTGTGGAAGTGCGACAAAGACCTACCAGTGAAGTCTGATAATATCTTTGTCTTGCCATGGATTCCTCAACAGACTATCCTTGGTATAGTATCAACGGGATGTTCTTATCTCGTGGTGGTTACAAATTTACGAATTCACGGATTTATCAAATTATTAAGCTAAAGCATCGAATATTCCGCGAATATATAGCACTGGAATGCATAAAAGTTTTCCATGGAACTTGTTCGACACAATATTAAATTTGAATTTAAATATTAATGCTCGAAATAATATTTTAAAAATGCAGCAGGTAATCCATGAACTGCACTCGCTTCTGCGATACATAAATCAGATTTAAATATGCATAGTTTTGGTTCGAATGCGTAAAAGGAAAGCAAATCAATTTGAAAGTGACGTTCTGTATTTAAAATAACGAAAATATGGTTTGTACTGTGGGGACGCGTGATGCACTAACAATTATACGATATTCTTGGCAAAAGGTTTACATGTTCATATATATTTCTGCATAGTCTTGCAACAGAATTTATCTTTCTATTACATAGCACACCAAAACATCAAGCTGTTCGTATACCAAGGAGGTCTTCAAAGCACCGAAGAAGCTGTACATTTTGCAGTGCCAGTGTTAGGATTACCAGTGATGGCGGATCAGGACTACCAAGTGCACAGAATGGAAGCACTTGGTGTTGGGAAGTGGTTAGAAATGACCACTTTGAAGGCAGATGAGCTGAGGAGCGTTACTCTAGAGATGATAAATAATAAAATGTAAATATACAATGTTTTTAATCGAATACATACATTTTCATTGTACTTATTTCATCGTGACTTTTGCAGGTACAAACAAAACATGCTAAAACTCAAGAACCTCACCAAGGACAGGCCTTACGATTTGACGAAACATCTTGCTTGGTGGACAGAGCACGTGATTCGTTTCAAAGGCGCTACTCCTCTTCGTTCCAGTGTGGCCAAGCAACCTTGGTATCAACGAAACGACATTGATATTTTCATGTTTCTAACGATAATAGCTTATATAATACTTTTGACGGCATTCAGTGTACTTATTAAATTTACCATGTACCTCCATAAACGACGACAGCTGAGTCTTCTGTATGAAAAGAAAAAAACCAGTTAATCGTTAGAGGACAAACTAAAGAATGTAAAATTAATTTTATATAGCGAAGTAGTTAGATATTCATCGATTTGGAATAATAATTTTAACCATTTAAGATACGTTGTACAGTATATAATAGATATATATATAACAGTTAATAAAAAGGTGTATTTTTATAAATGTAACTCGTAAGCGTCTATGCGTAATAATTACCTTTCTCGCATGTCCTTGTAAATTGAAAAAATAACGTTAGAGTTCTGAGACTAGTCTTTTATCGTTCGATCGTGACAACGAAAAATGGCACGCGAACGAGACGACATAAATATTTTTTCATCTAAAGTAGATTTTAGCGATAATTATGATCGAAATATGCATCCCGTCGATTGCACGATTAAACGATTACACGATTGTATCGAAATAAATAAAACATGAGTTTTCTCTTACTTTTGGAATCAGCGCGATACTCTGCAACAAGAAACTTCCATTCTACCTTTCTACCATCTTTTTTTCTAATCGAGTAATGCTTAACATGTTCTACTACATACACATTACATACACGAACTATTGTCAAATAAGAACAACTGTGATTACAACGTGACGTAATTATTTACATAGAATATCAACGATAACATCCCCAATTATCATAATACTTGTGCCAACTCATCGACGACGATGCCAACCGCATGAAATCATAGATACCATTACCACCTTTTTTTCGTTTAGTATTTCTGCGATCGGTTATAGCTACAGTTCGTCTCAATTCGTTAATATGAAGTTTACTTCAGTGAAAATACTCACGATTCTATGCGTTCTCTCTGCTATCGAGTATATTCGATGCGCCAGGATCCTAGGGGTGATCCCGACGCCCTCCTACAGTCATCAAATCATGTACACAAAATTGTGGCTGGAATTGGGCAAGCGTGGCCACGAGTTAGTAGTCGTCACCACGAATCCAATGTCCGTCTTGAACATACCGAATATAACGCAGATCGACATTAGTAAATCGTACGGCTCTATAAAAACTTACAATTTCATTCGCAATCGATTCGAAAACCTGGACTGGTTGGAGTGGGCGCAGGAAAAACAAGCCGACCTAATCGAAATGTTCTCGGAAATTGTGTTTTCCAATCAACAGGTGATAGATCTATACAAACCCGATAGCAATCAAACATTCGACGTGCTTATAATGGAGATGATGACCATATCAGCTATATTCGCATTCGCCCACAGATTTAAGGCTCCTACGATAGGTATTTCTTAATGCTTACTCTATTCAGGATCTTGCTTTGTAATCACGTAATGAAATTTATATTTTTTACTTGTAACGAAAGTAATATTGAGAAATGATGGGGAGGAAACGGGTTACTTTCACCTAAACAGCATTAACAATTTCGCTCCATCTGCAGGAGTGACCTCGATGACGATGTCCGTTACCGAGGAGGACACTATAGGCGGCCTGGTGTTACCTTCGCACGAATCCACGTGGGAAAGCAAAACGTACACAGGGTTGAACCTGTCGTTCTGGCAAAGACTGTATAACTTCTACAACGTGTGGCGCCACGTGTACGTCATCAGTCGTACAGTCACTTCCCGTCAACAGTCGATCGCGGAAAAGTACTTAGGGTCTGATATACCGCATCTGGTGGACATAGTGAGAAACAATAGTCTATTATTCGTAAATCAGGACGATGTCGTCATACCTCCGAAAATGAGACTTCCGCATATAATCACGTACACATCGACCCACATCGGTGTAAACCCAACACCACTGCCAAAGGTCGACAACCATCGGCAAAGTCTAACTACCTCGAGCCGATATGATAAGCTCTGCGTACTGTATTTCTATAACAATGTCGATGCCTTTGATTACAGGAATTGACGAGGTTCTTGGAGGACGCAAACGATGGTTTTATCTACTTCAATCTTGGCACCAATGCACCGTCCTCGTTCATGCCTCCGGAAACTTTGCAAATATTCATCGACGTGTTCTCCAGTTTGCCATACAAAGTCGTGTGGAAAATGGAAAAGAAACTAGATGGAATTCCTAACAATGTATTCACCGCGTCGTGGTTCTCTCAGCAATCTGTTCTCGGTATAACTGAGAAAAATTCATCGAACACGATACGGCAAGGGGTTGACGGATTTTCGTTATTGCGCAGGTCACCCAAAGGTGAAGCTGTTCATATACCAAGGAGGCGTACAAAGTAGCCAGGAGGCTGTTCACTTTGCTGTACCGGTATTAGGAGTACCAGTGATGGCGGATCAGGACTTTCAAGTGCACAAGATGGAAAACCTTGGGGTTGGGAAAAGTTTAGAATTGGTGACCTTGACCAGAACTGAGTTAAAGAAAGCTATCCTGGAAATGGTGACGAACAAAAGTTAAGTATACAAGATTCTCAAGCGAGAACTACTTGACATACGTATAATATTTCCAATACGATTTTCCAAGTTAAACTTTATGATTATTTATGAAATTCGTAGTCGTTGGACTCGTCAGAATTTTAACGTACAATATATTCTGAAATATTTATGGCCTAGTTCGATAAGCATTATGAGAGTACCTATTATATGCACTGATAGCGTCACTTTAAATAATACAGGTGCACGGTTAAGAAGCTCCTATTAATATGCACGTATTTATCGGTACCGTTACGCGCAACTAATACTGATACTGATACTGATTCTGGAATACTAAACATAGAATAATTGCCCTTACGAAAACCTTGCTCAACTTTTTCAGGTACAAGGAAAGAATGCTCGAAGTCAGGAGAATGGTTCAAGATACGCCCTACGACATAGGAAAACATCTTATTTGGTGGACGGAATACGTGATACGTCATAAAGGTGCTCCTCATCTTCGTTCCAACTTAGTTTGGCAACCCTGGCATCAACAATTCGATAGGGACATTGTGATATTTTTAACGTTCGTAATGTGTATAGCGGCTTCATTCGCGCTTTTCATAGCTAACAAAATGACTGTGTTTATCTATAAACAAAGACAATTGGTAATTTCGAAACAAAAGCAGAAAACTGGTTAATCGTTTATCGATGCAACGAAAATTAGCCAATTAGTTTCGATTAAGGAACGAGTCTCCCTTATTTTAAAATATGTAAGTAGTTCAATGTATTTCAAATGTAACATGTTTTTCACTTAGAGTTAAGATTGCGAGACAAATAAACAAAACGTCATCGATTAAAATTGAAACATTTTCTTATGTGATATTAAATAAAAATGTATCTATACGGAATTTTGTTACTATTATTTTGTTGTGCCATATCATTGGTTCTCTTTCAAAATTAATATTTATAGAAATAAACTTGAATGATCTCAGAAATGAAAATAATTTCTATATCCGACAAAAGCTGTTCTGTTTCGTATTATGTTTTGCAAGCTTCCGTTAAGCTGGCGCAGCTCAACGTTTCAAGTCTTGCAGGACATTAACTCTATTGCGTTTGTCGGGAAATTTCAGCTTTGTTTATTATTCAAATATGCTGTTTATAGGCGTAGGAATACAGTCTCCTTCGTGGTCGCATCCGCGAGGATCTTTAACCTTTACACAGCATTTAATTTCCACTATCACTGTTCGCGTTAACATTTCCCGAGATTTCTCCAGTTTTCCGGTCTCCAGTCGAGTCACAATCGGACGGAATCAAAACCCCTTTCATCGCGACGTACCGAGGAAATTATCAGAAAACGATAGAGGAGGAGGAGATTTCCTTTTCCGCGAGTATTTTCTTTTCTGTTCTCGGGGGCCGATGCTCCAGGAAGCTTCTTTGTTTCTCCGGTTGATAACGCGACCATCCTCCCTCTCGCCACCTCTGTTCCCGACGCCGACGGTTTCGATCCTCGGCAAAGGCAAACGCCTTTAAGAATCACGATGCTACGAAACGATAGCGTGGCGAAGCTGTTTGTCAGGTGCGCGTCGAAAGTAACGGAAAAACAAAAGCGTGGCGAAACGAAAAAGGGGGAACCGGGGAGCAAAGGAAGATACAATCTGCTTCTCCATTGTTTCATATGATTTGCCGGCAGTTATTGTTTCGTACATCGTCGCCGCGAACTTTTACAATTACACCGACGACGTCTCGAGGATTTTCCGGCTCTTTCTCTCCGTACTTGGTCGTTCTTCGGGTTCCGCTGCACACTTTGCCGAGCGTTTCACATCGCTCCATACAAAGCTGCGCCTTTCCATGCGGATACTGTCTTCTTTCGCGTTTATCGAATCGTCGAGTATTACGGTCCCTCGAGGAAAGGGGAGGAAGAGAACGATTCTTATGGAAAAGACTTCTGCTTTGGATTTTTGAGAGAAAGAGAGAGAGAGAGATCGTAAATATCGAATTGCTGAGGAACCGCGAATTCCTTAGCGCGGAGATTCGGTCTAAATTGGGAAATACGGAAGAGGAAGAGGTACGCTAAATTGTTGAATAACAACTATACACTGCGCAACGCGTACGATAAGTGTCGTTAAATACGGAAATCTAGATTAAACTCGACCGACAAACCCATTGTCGCGTGTGCCTCCACGTGACACGACTCTCATTCGCGCTGGAGAACATCTTGACGCTGACACGGATGAAAAGTGAAACAACTTGATGTTGGGGGCGAAACGTTTGGCGCAAGACAGTTATGCGAATAAAAGTTCAAATAAAAGGTAAATGAAAATCCTAGCCCGCGAACGCTACTAAAGGGATTAACGAGCGTGCATGCGAGATATTATATTTAATGCGACAATCCCACTTCATCCCAACGTCTATCACTCGTTGCGGCGCGCTTTCTTTCCCGTAATTCCTCTTTATTTTCATCCGTCCACGTTTCTCCGCCTCGCGTCACTCGAAGCGTTTACTCGGCCTCCTTCGTCGCTCGCTGGTAATAAAATTAACCGGATATAGCGCCACTTCTCGGGGGCCGTTGTCCCCCGAATTTACTCAGCTCTCCGAATGACGGATAGCTAATCCCTCGCATGGGATTCCAAAGCACGGATTTCCGGGCTCCCTTGCATATATTACACACACGTAATATTTGCTGTAGGGAACAAGGATTCTTGAGGACCCACGAGTCGCCCTTAGGCCCGGCTGATTTTATTCCAGCTGCGACGCCCCAACGCAACGTTATGTTGCGACCAATTAGGTCTGTGTAAATCTTGCTGTTAAAAGTGGACAAATATTGATTTTTCTTCGCGGAATACACGAGAAATGATGACAAACCTGCATGGACTTCATTTAGAGTTCCGCCACGACGAGCTTGGCAATACTCGGTGTTAGAACAAATGGAAAATAATTTGTTGTTCCAGTGGCAGGCAGTTATACGCGTCACGAATCCTACGAACGGTCAAATAAATTTCAACAATTTTCAAACACTTTTAGCGGAAGGTTTCTCGGTTAAACCACCGACACACGATCGCCGCGAATACCGCGACGTGATAATGAATGAAACGTATCTTCCCTATAAATCATCGTGTCGTTCGAGAAAAAGCCATTGATCCCTGGTGCATGCACCGTCGGCGTCGCGTGTCTGTATTCGATTGTTTCATACGTATTCGAGCAAGTCCCCCGAAGCTACACGCACAATACCTCCAGATAATTACAGGAGATTCTGCTTGCCAAAGCGCGATCTGTTATTTTCCTTCCCTTTCCTTTTTTGCTGTCTGCCGGCTGCATAGGAAGCTGTACAAACGAGATAGGCACTCGGGCATTTACAACTCCAACCCCTGGTCCTTATCTCTATCCCTTCGTACCTAACGCCTTATCTCGCCCTCGACCAATTCGATCTTCCAATGCAGATGGGGTTAAAACGTGAAACGGATGAACGCCAGGTGAATGAACTTCCCTCTTTCGTAAAATCGTTGGACGTGTTCGACATTTCACAATAAGAACAGAAAATCAGTACAGTTGCGGTAAAATATAATAAATAAAAGACAAGACTGACAGAATAAACGAGTGAAACTTGATCGAGACAATTTTTTATTCTGGAAAGACAATCCGTATCCGAGGTTTCGCGACGATTCAGGTGTGGTCTAGTTTCCTAGTGGCTGTGAGATTCTGCCACCAGAAAGCAGACGTCTTCCAAGTCCGCGGTCTGCTCGGATTGTCGAAATCAACGTGCACGATGCCAAAACGTTCCCTGTTAATTCGATTATTAAAATTTACGCGAATGCAGTAGTAACAGTTACCCTGCCCGGATCAACATGAAAACTTACCTGTACCCTACATGCCACTCGAAATTATCTAGAAGCGACCATAGATAGTATCCTCGCACGTTGACGCCATCGACGTACATGGCGAGAAGCATCGTTTTCAAGTATTCGCGAAAGTAATGGATCCTGTCGGTGTCGTCGATGGTTGAAAAGTCGGAGTAACCATTTTCGGTGATGTAAATCGGTGGATTTCCATATTTCGTTGCCAATTGACGAAGCAGGTATCGGAAACCCTCGGGTACAACCTATAGAACGCAACGAGATATACGTGTACATACTCCTACGAGACAACCGACTATGCGACTATACAAGCAAGTATACATGAAATATCTGTGTACAGTGTGCATATTAAACTTGAATTGTTCAGACAAGCAGAACCACAGAGCAGCGGTGATTTTTACCTTCATCCACACGGAGGCTCCAGACTTCCAGGACTTGTCGTGGCTTTTTATTAAACCTGTATCGTGAGCATGAGACGGCACTCGTTTATCCTGTCCGGGTTCAATCAGATACGAGCTATAGTGATTTAACGCCAGGAAGTCCGAGGTTCCCCTGTTACGAAAATGGTAACGCTCGATTCGATGCACTCTCGACAAATTATAATAAAAACGTAAATGCGCAATACCGTATGTAATCGATCCACTCGGGCTCAAACACTGGCAAACGTGATCGCGGGTAACCCTGTTCCCTGCTCTTTGCGGCCACCATGCTCTTCACGAGTTCCGGATAGTCACCCTTCTCGGAGTAAACCGGATGCATAGTCCAGCCAGCGTAGAACTGGAACGCGATCTCTGGGGACGATTCGTCGTTTGGATTTTTGGCCATGTAACTCTGCGAATTCAGCATGAATCCGACTTGGCCTTTTTGGGTCTGCTTGAACTCTTGCTCGTATATTCTATAAGCTCTTGCATGCGCTTTTAATATATTGTGAATGCAAAGATACTCCCCGATGCCATTCAGTTTTTTCCCAGGAGCATGAACGCCCACAGAGTAGCCGGACGTGCATAAACCAGCGGGCTCGTTTATAGGTATGAACCGCTTCACCTTATCTCCGTACTCTCTGTACAAGATTCTGGCATAATCGCCGAACCAGTTGACCATTTCCGAATTCAGCCAGCCACCAGCATCTTCGAGAACTTGAGGGTGATCCCAGTGATAAAGTGTCATGAGCGGCTCGATTTCATTCGCCAATAACTCGTCGATCAGATTGTGGTAATAACGAACGCCATCCTGGCTAATGTAATTCGCGAATCCTGTTGGCAATATTCGTGGCCAGCTCACGGAAAATCTGTACGAGTCTAACTGTTCACGATCAAAAATAGAATAACTTTATTTTCATGTTATTTTATTTGGAATGCAACCCGATTAGACAGCTCCGAAAACAGTCTATTTTAACGTATCATACAAGACACTATTTGCATTCAAGTCCATTAGAATTTCCGCAATTACAAGCTGTCAACATTGTGCTCGAATCGGAGTAAAACTATGTTTCTATTGGTCCGCGTACATGTTTGAATTGTGTAGAATTATGTCAAGTATCGAAAGCAACATGGCCAAGGTGGTACTCGAAATTGCAACGTGGTTGCTCGAAACTCGCAGTTACATATTATATTTTTGATTAATTAAACTTCTCGTCCGATACAATTCGGGAAACTCCTCTAATAATTCTAGTACACAATGGCAAAATTGTCGAGCAACGTTTGATGTGAACGCATGCATCGCCCTTCTGTATCTCGCAATATAAATTCATGAAACATAACGTAGTTTATTTACCCCGAGTTGCTTTAGTAAGGCTACGTCTTCCTTGTACTTGTAATAAGAATCCGTGGCGACGTCACCTGTGACATTGGCGACAATACGGCCATCGTATCGATGACTGAATCGATCCCAAACACTTTCTCCTTTATCTGCATGTTTAAGATGGAGGAAAACGCTATAAAAGTTTTTCAGTTTGAAAAGGGAAAATTAAAATTTGAGACACCTACCGCTAACATTCCAAGCTCCTTCTATTTGGTATGCGGATGTCGCTGCTCCCAAGGTAAAATTCGTTGGAAATCTTAGATATTTATCGCTCTCCGAATCAAGAGTACCATTTGCACGGCTAGAAAAACCAAATTCAGAGTTTATTACGGATCGAAAGATGAATCTTTTAGTGTAAAATCGATATTATTCGTCAAATTTCTGATAAAAAAAAAATAGAATTAATATATTAATTGTATAAACACTCACAGTACAACGAAAAGAAGAATACACGACAGCCTGATGAACATGTTTCATGAAATACCAGAAATGCAATCATCGAAGTTTCTTATATATCATTTACATGTATGTTTCATACATGGAAACATTGGTCAATGTTTTTAAAACATTATTTTGTATTGACACGGACATACGTACGTACATACGATAATTTTAATATCCACTATTAGTTAACCAATTAAAGAGGATTTATCGCCACAGAATCCTGACCTCCAGACCTGACCAGAATAATGACCTCCAAAACAATATTCACACTATTAATTATTTTAAATGTTTACTGTGTTTTCGAATATCACGTTCGTTTTGTTGATAAACTGTCAGCCTAGTGTATTAATGCGTCGCCAAGGCTTCCCCACCAATCATCTTTTATCGTCCGATTAAAATGATATCCGTCTCCTATAGTACATACACATGCGCGTAAGATGGTAAATTCCAGTGAATGTAACCCTATGATGCCAACAACAGTGATCTTTCTCGTTTCGAGATAACATTGCATTTTTTCAAACAGTTTTAATTTGCCGAATCAACTGAATACTATAAATTGGTTCGGGTTAATATTTTGCAACGGGTCGCTCCGAGTTTGTGTTACAAACATGACGATAAACTCATGAATTAGCTACACCAAAATATATTCCATTCACTAATTACATTCATATTTTATCTATTATTATTCGTTATAATTTTAATAATCGATTAATTTATCGGAATAATACTGCGCTAATTCTGTACACGTTATGAAGGAAAACTTATAACTATGTAATATGTGAATATTGTGTCGTTTACATCATAATAAGTGAAGTTTTTAAATAAATTCACATTTTAAGATTTTACACACTTTATAATAATAGACATTCTTACACATCTGAGGTTACAAATAAATTACATACATATCTCGTGAACGAATGAATCAGTACAGATAGACGTTTGTCGGTCATGATCCGCGTTAAGTAATACTGAAACAGTTGCGACGCCCGCGCAGAGTACAAACTTTATTTATAGTAATTATTATGTTACTATCGATGATTTTCTTTTTTCGAAAAACCATATGTACGAGTATCCGAATAATCTCTATCGTGACAAGTATCGATGATAATTCACCATCTAGGGTCTCCGAGTAGGTCTTCAAATGGATCCTTGAGTGGGTGTTGGAGTGGATCTTGGAGTGAAAAGCGGAATTTCAGGTCTTGGAGTCGTTGGAACAATTATTGATAATGGAAGTTTTCTTTCAGCTGTAACTTGCTGCCACCATAAAGCAGATTGCTTCAAGGTCCGTGTCCTGTTTTGATCCGAGAAATCGACAGACACGATTCCGAAACGTTCGCTGCAAATTCGAGTATTAATATTAACTAATCAATTCGATATTTGAAGTGTACCGAAGTCTAACAACTGTCTTAATTACCTATATCCCCGTTGCCACTCAAAGTTGTCAAGAAGCGACCATAGATAGTACCCTTTCACGTTAACGCCATCGACGTACATGGCCAAAAGCATCTGCTCCAAATAATCGCGATAGTACTGAATTCTTTCCCAATCATGGTTGGTTCCAGTATCAGAGTAACCATTTTCAGTTATGTAGATTGGTGGATTTCCATATTTCGTTGCTAAATGACGAAGCAGGTATCGGAAACCCTCGGGTGCAACCTATCCAACACAAAAAAGAATGTAGAATGTTCTATAGCTGGCAAATTGTATCCAAGAAGATAAATAATTCTCGTGACATTTACTCTTAACCAGTCGGAAGCTGTCTTGGCCCAAGAAGGTTTATAGGATGCTACAAGACCCGCGTCGTTTTCATAAGATGGTACTGAACCTGATTCACCGGGTTCCATTAATTTCGAGGTGTAATGATTTACCGCTAGAAAGTCTGAGGCTCCCCTAACGAGAGAACGACAACAATCAATTAAGAAACTCTCGATTACTGCATTATCCAAATAAAAATGTGCCCGATTCTCCTCTATATGTCTCAAGAGCGCCCACATATGCTGTTTCTAACGTTGTTGTACTAATAAAATTTACTAAAAAACACTCTTACTCCAGTTTACCAAAGAAATTCTTACACTGCTAAACGAAAAGACGAGTGAAGAATACCTTATGTAGTCGATCCACTCGGGCTCGAACTCTGGCAAACGAGATCTCGCGTAACCCTGCTGCTTGCTCTTGGCGGCAATCATTTCCTTCATGATTTCCGGGTAGTCACCATTCTTGGCATAGATAGGATGCAAAGTCCAACCAGCAACGAATTCGAAACCGACCACCGCTGACAGTATGTCACTTGAATTCTTTGGTATGGGAGTGGGCAAATTGTACATGAATCCGACCTCGCCGTGCTGCGTTGGTTTGAACTCCTTTTCGTATATTCGGTAAGCTCTCGCGTGGGCTTTGATCGAGTTGTGGATGCAAAGATACTCGCCAATACCGTGTAGCTTCTTTCCAGGTGCGTTCACCCCGGTCGAGTAACCATCTATGCATACGGAGTGGGCTTCGTTTATCGGGATGAACCGCTTCACCTTATCTCCGTACTCTCTGTACAAGATTCTGGC